TGTCAGAGAAAGTAAATGCTTGCTTTGTTACGACATGCTAATATTTCATGTGTAATGCAACTCTTAGTGCACCTCCAGTGCACTCTTCAGATTAATATAATTCATTATCAGAGTCCCCTTGGCTCACTGACAGAGTAGGTGTGGCCAAGCAAGAATAATTTCAGAAACTCATTGTGGCTGGCTTTGCCCAAGAATTGTTCTTGGGCAATTTTGCTATTGATTTATTCACAAATATTAAATAATTTTCAACCATAATATTAGGGACTCAATCGTGAAAAATTTGTAATCACAAAGAGACCCATAATTCTTTCCTTCAAGGAATTTACAGCTCATTTGAGGAGTTTATTGTTTAGCCAATGGTCAAAAACAAACTCACATCAAGAGTTTTCTTTTTTACATCTTTTCTTAGAGTGCATAGTAGCCTGTAAACCTCATCCCAGCCAGTTTAAGAGCTGGGATCAGTATGCCTAGAAAACACAGATGATTTGTTTCAAGGAAAGATGGCAAAGCGTTTATGTTTCATTGAAAAGAAACAGAGAGAGAGTGTAAGGAACTCTTTGGCAGAGTCATCATTGTTGTTTTGGCTCAGACAGGATGTATGAAGAAATGGAGCATGTGAAATAAGAGAACTGTAAAAGGAAAAATTAACAAAATCTCCAAGATAAACTTTACCTTCAATACTTGTTTATGTTACCAGTGTCAGTCCTAAGACCAAGGGTATGTTACTCAGTATAGTAAAATTGGCTTATGGATAGTAAGTTAATTATTCTGCTTACCCACTTGTAGAGTCTCAGTGGTTTGGTTGCTAATTAGTCTGTACAATGTTCGGCATTAACTATTAACAAATATTATTTACAATTCAGAGGGAAACTCAAGTGGAGTAATTTCTGGGTCTGGTAGGGTATAGTTTGCACTTTGAATATTTATTTCAAGCTGATGAATTTCAAGAGTGTCACAATCATACTATTTTCAGAAAATTATGTATTCATTGTTAAAATCTATTTTCCAAAGAAATGTAAAAGGTAAAATTTGGGAAATAAATGTAAGAGAATGTAGACATCTAGTTTCCAATACATCGTTGCCTAGGTAACAAGGCCTATCTAAGCATTTTGAATTGTTAGGCATTGATCATCTATATTTGGGGATTCAAATCTGCAATGAAGGCAAGTTTCCATGGTGCTCGCAATTACATAAGTGTTTTCCAGTATTATTTTAGAAGGAAGTTATATTCCAACATGCTTATTCACTATTGTAGGAAATAATTTAGTGCTGAAGGTTTTGAACTCAAAATATAGGGGGAAATCATTGAATAAGAGGAAGGATCATTAAGGTTAAGAAGTAACATCTTCTGTGATCAAAGCATAGACTAATCCACACATTATGAATGTGATCCTCTCTAGGAAACAAACATAGCGAAACAATTTCCTTTTTTTACAGTGTAATTTTGAGAAGAAATGCTGACATTGTATGGTGCTTCATTTGCCCAGCAAAACTTTAACTCATGGAAAAATATTTGGGAATCTGTCATGTTTTCTAGAAGCATCTTTCAACAAAGCAATGCAATGTCGTCAGGACAAGTGGAAACATAAGAATTAGTCAATGTTGTGTTTAAACAAATTAGAATTAGACACTAAGGATGGATTAATAATGGTCAAGTATATACTGGAAACTGTTTGGCATGTGCCTGCAAGTCTCTTCCTTTGATTTCATAAGCACGTCTACAAGATAGTGAAANTCATTGAAAAGAAACAGAGAGAGAGTGTAAGGAACTCTTTGGCAGAGTCATCATTGTTGTTATGGCTCAGACAGGATGTATGAAGAAATGGAGCATGTGAAATAAGAGAACTGTAAGAGGAAGAATTAACAAAATCTCCAAGATAAACTTTACCTTCGATACTTGTTTATGTTACCAGTGTCAGTCCTAAGACCAAGGGTATGTTACTCAGTATAGTAACATTGGCTTATGGATAGTAAGTTAATTATTCTGCTTACCCACTTGTAGAGTCTCAGTGGTTTGGTTGCTAATTAGACTGTACAATGTTCGGCATTAACTATTAACAAATATTATTTACAATTCAGAGGGAAACTCAAGTGGAGTAATTTCTGGGTCTGATAGGGTATAGTTTGTATTTTGAATATTTATTTCAAGCTGATGAATTTCAAGAGTGTCATAATCATACTATTTTCAGAAAGTTATGTATTCGGTGTTAAAATCTATTTTCCAAAGAAATGTAAAAGGTAAAATTTGGGAAAGAAATGTAAGAGAATGCAGACATCTAGTTTCCAATACATCGTTGCCTAGGTAACAAGGCCTATCTAAGCATTTTGAATTGGGAGGCGTTGATCATCTATATTTGGGGATTCAAATCTGCAATGAAGGCAAGTTTCCATGGTGCTAGCAATTACGTAAGTGTTTTCCAGTATTATTTTAGAAGGAAGTTGTATTCCAACATGCATATTCACTATTGTAGGAAATAATTTAGTGCTGCAGGTTTTGAACTCAAAATATAGGGGGAAATCATTGAATAAAAGGAAGGATCATTAAGGTTAGGAAGTAACATCTTCTGTGATCAAAGCATAGACTAATCCACACATTATGAATGTGATCCTCTCTAGGAAACAAACATAGTGAAACAATTTCTTTTTTTTTACAATGTAATTTTGAGAAGAAATGCTGACATTGTATGGTGCTTCATTTGCCCAGCAAAACTTTAACTCATGGAAAAATATTTGGGAATCTGTCATGTTTTCTAGAAGCATCTTTCAACAAAGCAATGCAATGTTGTCATGACAAGTGGAAACATAATAATTAGTCAATGTTGTGTTTAAACAAATTAGAATCAGACACTAAGGATGGGTTAATAATGGTCAAGTATATACTGGAAACTGTTTGGCATGTGCCTGCAAGTCTACCCGCAAGTCTGTTCCTTTGATTTCATAAGCACGTCTATAAGATAGTGAAAGAATGCTTTATCCAGCAGACATACTTGATGTTAATCTTATGACTCTCCAGTCCCCAACTTTTTGATTATTCATTACCTTTACTTGGTAGTAGTACCTATTGCTGTCTGTATGAACTAATGTACATCACCATGGCTTAGTAGACAAAATTGGCCCTATTTGTCCCATAGTCATTTTATAAATTGATCTCAATGTACAAATATTCAAGCATCCTGGAGAGCCTGAAAATTTGAGTACTGCAAGCCCATCTCTCTATTTTATGGTAACTACAACAAGTTATCACAGGCTATGGATCCAAACTGAAACAGCCTACTTTGCCTACATTCTTACTTCCCTTATACATATTGGGGGTGATGGTATGTATGGGTGTAGGAAGGTATTTAAACTACAACCCAAGGTTCAGAAAAAGGTGTAAATTATATATACAATATGTGTACTACACATACAGAAAAACATTTGTATACATTCTATAACTGTCACACATGTATGTATCATATCATACACGTATAAAAAGAGGTAGCCGCTTTTTGAATGTCAAGCTATTTTGACTATGGAAACGATAGACAATAAACTGGCAGAAATTAGAGGATGTCAGAAAAAGCACAGGACTAAACCGTGAGGTGAAGGGTCAAGTCCAAGCTCCGTTGTTTTTCTGTCATTTAACATTTGACAAACCAGTGTGCTTCTCCAACAGCTGCTACCACATAAGACTATTGAAAAAATAAATGAGAAAATAATGCCCATGTAGATACCTTACATTCTCACTGCATGTGAAGCTAAAAATGAACTGCTGCCCAGCAAGGTAGTCAAGGCTTTCCATGGAGGTCAAGGTAGCACAGTGAAACATGTCCCATATGGACAGGTCTGCAGATGGCTAGGAAAGAAACAAACTCAAAGGATCTGAAAAAAGGAAATCCACTGAGACTTCATGGAAGTGCAGGATGTAAGCCAACCTACACTTATGCAAGGCCATCTATTTACCAGGCACAGTGACACCATAGACAGAATAATAAAAGGATTTGTTTTCATTATCTTTTTTTTAATAAAAGTTTAGGATATGATGCCCAAATCTGTAGGCTTCTAACTCTGCAGGCTATGTCAAGTAGAGATTTCCAAGATGTAGGATAGATGGGAGTGCCCAGCATCTGTCCTGTCCCCTCCCCAACCTGGTCATAACGTTTAACAATTCAACGTTTTAAGTTGCACCCAACATCATATGCTATCTCAGTGTCTAAGGGCTGGAGAATATTTTATAACTTTCCAAAACATAAAACCAGATGCTACATGAAGTAAGCAGTATATATTGTGAAGCACAAGAAGTGGGTCAATTCACTTTGAGCATGAAAAGGACATTGTTAACATCAAACCCACAGAAGCAGAGAGTAGAATGGAGGAGGCCAGGGGTGGGGAGCAGGAGATATGGGGAGATGTTGGCCAATTGGTCCACAGTTTTAGTTACAAGATAAGTAAGTTTTGGAGATCTAATGTAGAACCTTTATATAGTAGCATTGATAATACTGTATTATTTACTCAAAATTTTCTAAGAGACTTGTTTGTAAGTGTTGTAACCTCAGGGGGGAAAAAGAAAATGCTAATTATGTGATTATATGGGGTGATAGATATATTAATTACCTTGATTGTGGTGATTTACACTACACAATGACTATCAAAACATCAAGTTGTACACTTTAAATATATTGAATTTTATTTGTCAATTATACCTCGATAAAGCTGGTAAGCACATTTACATCTAGTAGAAACTAAAACAAATAGTAAACTATGTGTACCAGGGTATATAATGCTCTCCTATGAGAACATCAAATTTCCCCCTCCGCACACACCTCCACCCTGCCCTGGGCAACTCACTGAGTACCTTCGTCTGTGACACCAAGTGGTCCAAGAGTGGAGAAACCAAGTAACTCCCAGGACAGGACATGGTGAGAGAAAAGCATGAGAGTTGTTGAGAACTGGTGGGACCTCACGGAAGGCGGCTCCATCCATATGTTCTTAGCAGTACAGTGCAGGATGCAAGACTGCTAGGGGGTTGACATGCAAGAAAATATGCAGGACTTATCTCACCATAGGTCAGCTGGTAACCCAAGGTGTGGTGCCTGCTACTCAGTCCTTCCAGCTAACACAACTATCTTTTATGAATGCTTTCAAGTTATGAAGTGAGGGTCCCTCCCTTGTACTTTGCCCTGCTTTCTGATATTGGTGCGTCTGCAGTAATAAGCAGAGGGAGGTTTATGAAAAGGAGGCTATTATATCACTACGAACTTTNCTTACTGGACGTGCCTCCAGATGCATCCATCCATTCCAGCGCTTCGTATCTCACTGAATGCTAAGGAACAAGGAGTCTGACGGTTTCACCTGAGTAAACGGACAGGTAGATCCAGCAGCAGAAGTAATTTTGAGTTGGCCTCTACAGTGTCCTCAGGTTTTCAGAATATGTTCCTTCAACCCCATTCCTTGTTGCTACACAGTGTTGGCATCCACATGCGCCACTGATGATAAATCAAGGCATCCCCAGGTGTGCACTCGAGAGAACGGAAGTTTAGTGTTCTCCGAGTACCACTTTCCATTCTAGGATTCCTCTGAGAAATGTCTTCCCAGCTGCGTGGGCTGGAAACTTTCCGAAGAAATTGAGTATGTTAATCCTTCGGAACAGGGAATGAGGTCACAGCAAACATTTCCTCTCCCACCTGAAGGAGGCTGCAGAGCTGCCCTGTACTTCAGGATTGCACCTGACCACAACTGGAGGAAAGCACCGCTGAGGAACCGAGGGCCTCGGAAGATCAGCCGCCTCCTTCGTGAACAGGCACGCAGCCCTTCAGTGTCCCGCCACCCGGTCTTGGCAGCTTTCTCTACGTTCTCCTTTCTGCCAGTAGAGATTCGCGTGGTTAACAAGTAGATATCATTCCTGACACATGCTGCAAACACTGGGATGATTCTTTCCCATTCTCCGCTTTACAAATTCT